GAAATAAATAGTTATCCATACGTGTTACGATAATTCATTGAAGAGTTTAATTGCATTATTCTGCTTTAATTGAGGTTAAGTCGGAGTTTGTTATAAATTACGAGTCAACTAAACGGGAAGATGGTCCAACAGTTCCTTCAAAATCCATGCTATATTTAATAAGCTATGTTCAATAACAGTCCAGTAATGCTGTTAATTAGCAGCCATTTGACTGCTTGCTCTCTTACTCTCACTGTTCGCATGAGCAAAGAGTTTTTTGATAAGACGTCGTCGTAAGCAGAAGCATGTAATAAGGTGGTTCAACATTTCCCTCAAGCTAAGAACCTATTACGGACTTTTAATGTTTGTTTTCTCAACAACGATAATAACGCTGTAACAAAGCTTTTGTTAATTATTTTTTGATCTGAAGTCACATTCTTTCAAACGTTCGCAAAGCAAAAGTGTATACAATTCCGCATTATAGTAAACATATAAGCATTTGTGTACGTAAAAAACCAAACAATAGGTAGATATATATGATTTATTATCCTTTCATCGTGGTAAGTAAAATAAAGATTACTTCTGCAATATAGTTTTCTTCAATAATAAAAAATTTCTCCATTTTTCTTGATGAGGAAATTTTTACTATCGAAAAACATAAAATGATGTGAAATAAGTTATATATGCCACATACATGCCTACCACTTAGTTTTTTTTAAATATATCCACCAGAGCGCATATTCACTTAAAACCACAGAATTGTATATGTTTCTATTTTACAAACATTTGAGAGAATATGATTGATCTCAATTTGGAATTCAAGATTGGAACGCCTCTCTATACTTCGTCTCTGTTTTTTGCAGGTATCCTAAATAACGGCAAGTGCGTTAGGTTGAAGAAAACTATGAGAAGAGTAACTACAACTTTTAGCAGCCAGAACAACTTTTCACATAACTTAGATAATTTCAAGCGCGCGTACATTTAACTTGGAAAGGCACCTCGCTCAAACTCAGAGCAGAGTATTCGTATGCAGAGTTTTTTTTATAGTAATAGTGATATAATGATTTCGTTTTAAAAGAATTGAAAAAAAGCACATATTTTCCGTTTTATTCTGATTCGCTGCAAATGAATTCTCGGTCCGACAAAATGCCCATGGTTTTGATTGCTTCTCTTAAAGGACCGAATCTTTTCCAAAACGTAAAACACGTTAGGGAGACGTCCATTTGGTCCCCTGACAAGAACCAGGTAAACAAGATCACTACAGTCAAGGAAAGCTATTAAGATGGCTATTAATTTGAATTTCCTTTGACCACGATATTCGCTTAATAGTGGATCGTAAGAGTGCTTCTACTTCTGATTCTCATGAGTATAAATTTCAGCATGGACCGCTAAATTCTCCAATCTTGGCGAGCACCAAACAGCTTTTAAACATATAGGTATAAAAGACTGGCACACAGTCAAATGAAGTCTTCTTGCTTATTCAATATGTATATATTTATGTACATGTTCATGGTACATATAAATGCATTTAATTAATAGCGTTTTGAGTTAACATCGCTGCCTTCTGTGGCTCTCTGCTTGTCGTAGAATTCATGTTAATGTTTTCGACCTCTTTTTCTGGTTTATTTCTCCGGTTTGAATAGCATGTTTGATTGATCGCATTGTCTTTTAGGCCTAATAAGTAAACTTGTGCTGCATTTCGTCTTTCGATCGTAATTTTGCTGGCCGTAGATGCTTCAAGAAGAAGCGATAAATTTATTATGCTTAATTTCGACTATATTGGTTAGCTACTATATAAGGGCTCTATTTACAAAAAATTTTCTCACTTTTGTAATTTTATTTTTTAATCAGTCAAGAAAAGTTTTCACCAAATTTTAGCTTCCTAACTTGATTTTTGTGACCGCGGCAAGCGGAAAAAACCAGGCTATGAAAATGACTCCATTTTATTAGAAATAGGTATATGCAAGTCGTCAGTGGCTTCAGTGTTAATAAGTAAAATTTTGCGTAGTTGCCTAAGCCTCTAAAACGATGGCTTACACGAAAGTCTATTACCGCCAGAAAAGCTTATGCACAACTCATACAGTCACAATGGCATTACTTCGCAATTTTATCCAAACATGGGAGAATAGGCCATGGTCAATGACTATTGGGGTACCACCCAATTTCAATATTTTCTGGGTCGATTCATATCACATTCCGTGTTCCAAAGAGGCGACATATTGCGATCGCAATTTGAAAATAAATGCCTTTTACAGGTTGGAAGCTGAAGCCTATTTCAATACGTACTTTCGGGGAAATACGCCTCATTAGGCGGTTATAACAACATGAAAGAGAAAAAAGCCGAATTAGTAAAAGAAAAAACTTGGCATCAAATGTTGCGTAATAACGAATATACTAAAAACTTAAAAAGATGTTCAAAACAAAAAAAAAAAAAACAAAAAAATCATACACAGCAACATACCAAAACAAAAGCAAGGAAAAATTAAATGAAAACCAGATCATGGCAGTGGCTTCACGTTTATGAAGATGAGCATCTGACTATACAACACGCCACTCAATATAACAAAAATGAAAAGTAAAATGCTCTAAAGATCTCTGGCTCATTTGTGTACAGGCGGCATTACACTGTGGAAACCTGTATGGGTTTTTATAAGTAAGTGAATATGAACGAACCATGCACGAAATCGCTAAGCGAAATCAAAAATCAAATGTAACTTAAGGAACATTGTAAACTCAAGTTTTGTTGTTACGCAACCGTTATTCAAAGCCAAGCTAATGATCATTACAAGCAGACATTATTTTTAGGCCAAATTGTTTTTCTTTAGTATATTTAAATATAATTAAAAAAATAAATAAATAAAAAAAATTAGATAATTAATATTCATGTAACAATTTCACCTGAAAACAAATTCAAAACGTACCGGACAAACGCATAAGGAAAACCGATTACATATATAATGAATAACTCATCCAACTATCTATCTAACGCAAGGCATATGATGCATGGAATTGAATTCAAAGAAAGTGAGAGTTGAAAGTGTTTCATAATGAAGATCAACAAACTTGAATTGTCGTAATCATGGACGGATGGGAGGTTAAACAAGTTTTCACACTTAAAAAAAAAAAAAAGGAAAAATAAAAGGAGTTTTTTATAATAAATCTTCTAATAATTTTATTAAGCCATATAAATTAATTTACAATAACAAAAACAAAGAACAAAAAAAAAAGGGAAAACAAATAATTATTAAATCACTAAATGATATGAATTTTAAATAAAAAATGAAAAAAAAAAAAAAAAATGAAAGCAAAAAAAGAATAAATGAGTGGAAAGGAGAAGTAAAGATTACATCGTCTTAATGTCTCCCAATTTGATCGACTTGTGCTTGCAAATTATTAATCACTTCGGAGGGCACTTGATCGCCCAAAATCTCGAATAGGTTGATGCGTTGATTCCCAGGTATTTGCTCGTACGCGCCGAGCTCAATGCCTTCCTGGACATTCTGTATTTGAGCATCTTTCGGTATCAATAGAGTCTGCTGCGCCTGACGTATAGCCTCATTAGTGTAGGCGGCACCTTCTCTCTGTTGCGGCAAACACACAGCCAAGGCCATCATCACAGTGATTAAAACAAGATTCAATAAAATGACTTTCATTGTTCTTTAATTTATTTACTATACGTTGCACTGGAATATTTGATTTTATTTGAATTCGTTCAACTTTAAAACACAAATTGTTTCAGTTTCGCACTAAAAACACAATCTTACCTTTAGCAAGTTCCACACACTAATAATACCCATCAATGTGATCGCGCTACTGTTTATAAGCTCCGTGGTCATCTTTACACAATATTTCTCATCGGCTCTTCAACAACAATGAATTAAAGAGCATTTCCCACGTAACCGCATAGATAAGGCATACACGCACTCAGAGAGCTACCGCGTAAAGCTATTCTCTGCGCGTCGACAACACTGGAAGATTCACTTATTTACCTGTACTCCGAAAATCCTCAATTCCAAGCACGTTGGTAAAGCGTAATTTTTTTTTTTCTGACCAAAAATTTAAAAAAAAAAAAAAACATTATAATGAAAGTAACATTTTGAAAAGTAGTCACATCTGTTATAAAATTAAAATTGATTTTTATTGTCTACAGGTAAAGCTCATACAACAGTCAACATAGCACGAACTGTTATTGTAGACGCCTTATACTTAATTGCGTTGATGACCTTTTTTTCCTTTGGTTATATTTCTAAAAATTTCATCCACTTACTCTACAAGAGATAAACGAACGAAGGAAGAAGTGAATGGAGATAGGTCATAAACATTAATCTTTTTATTGCAGTTTGCCTATTCAGCAAATCCCTTACTGCTTAAGAGAGATCATGAAATGTAAGCCACAACAAAGTAATCCAACGTTTGATATTAGTATATAAGGTCGAGTTTGCCTAACCTTTCGGGTGTGTGTTCATTGTTTGGTATAAATTTGAAATATGGAATTAATCTTCACCGAAAGATAAGCATTACCTACATACATATATATATTCCCATATATAGTTCAGCAATTTTATTGAATATCCTAGAAATCGTTAGCTTCTGCCGCATGGGCAAAATAATACAAGCGATTATTTTATGCTCGTAATACTCAAGTATTCGTTATTTCAGGACATAAAAAGAACAGTTGCTAATTCACCACCGAGGGTAAAAATGTATTAAACTCCTCTTTCGGTTGGAAACGTTAGAATACATTCGTGAATGTTCACTTGATCCGCTTGAAATATACTATAAATATTTTCAATACAATACAACAGATCAGATTTGTTGTCGAATAGGATCTCATCCCTGGCAAAAGAAAGTAACAAAGTGGAAACATTACACAGCCTGGGTCGAATCTTTCAAAATCCATCATTAGCTTATGCGCTAGAAAAGTAAATTATGATTGCGTTAATAAATAGATGGCATAATGGGTTTTACTAGTGTTCGAGCCTCAACTGGAAAGAATGATAAAGAAATATTCGGCTCCACCTCTAGTTCTCCACACGTAATTCATATCTCCTGCTTGCTCTCTTAAGTCAAACACAATATATCATCCCTGGGAAGCAATACTTGACAGTGACGCCACAAAGACAAGCGAGTTGACGCATAGGAAGCTTAAGCACATTAGGCTTTTGTATTTTCGAACTACTGCAAAAAGATCCGATCAATACGTAAAAGACTTGCTTTTCAAGATATTTTAGTCAATTAACTAACGAACAGTAGCGCCAAAATTAACTAGAAAGAAAAACAAAAAAAAAAATTGCCAAAGAGTGACATCGATCGTTACACTAACACGCTGCCATTTATCCGAAATTCTCTTTCTTGTCATTTTCTTCCGATTTTCATTTTCTCTCTATGGCATGTGCACAGTATAATATGCCCATGGGATAAAAACAGGTACCCAGTTTATAGTTATAGTCACAGAAGGCCGACCGTTGAATACTCTATAAATACTCATAAAAAGCTTCCGGAAACACAAAATTGTGCGGGGCACATTTTCAGTCATATACCTCTTATGGCAAATCACTTCAAAAATTTAAATAAGAGATTATTTTTCGTCTATCCCCTAAACATTTGTTTCATCAGTAGTGCACCATTGCTTTTTATGTATTGATGATTGTTTCATATAACGACGAACAAAGCCGAGTTTGCAGTGCGAAAAAAAGTGATTATGAATCGTTTGTGGCGATTAATGAATAAATAAAGTAAGAAGGCGATCTGAAATAATTCGCTTGGAGAGTCGCATACGGCTGCACCAACTTAACATGCTCTCACAGACGATGTTGTAGAATGCAGTTAGTAATTTTCAGCGCTAATTGTAGAAAGAAATGCAGGAGCAGGTATCAATAATTTTTAGTTTCTAATTTCTAAGCAATGCACTAAGTTCTTTAAATAGAAAAGGACAAGAATTCAGCAGGTAATCGTTTTCAATGGCTGATCTTGAAACATAAGCACACGCGTTTGCTCACTAAATAGTAGACGGTTAGTTAAAAATTGTTAGTTATCAGAGAAGGTTCGCTCCATTCATCGCTTTGGAATGATTTTTTTCGCAACATTATCGTTACTGCTGTGTATCATGTGCGATGCACTTAAAGTTCATCAATTTTCCGAAGAATTTCTGAATAAATCAATTTTAGAATTAGAAATGCGAGAATTACTGGGGATCGGACAAAGTGCTAAACGTTTAAGGCGGCAATTGCCCTTAAAAAATTCAGCCGCAAAATTTTTATTCGAGGTATATAACATCGTGGAAGAACATGAATCTGAAAATGTTCAACAAAGTTCTTTATGGTCAAGTAGCAAACGTTCGAAAAGATCTACGCGTGGAAGTAATTTTTTAACTGAACTCGATGTAATGGAAATTTCAAAATGCAATACAATAATAACATTTCCAAGTAAACGTAAGTCTACCATTTCTATCTAGAGCTCAACAAAAATTTTCTTTAAATAATTTTTGTTTTATTCAGCATTTTCTACGACCACGAATGGCGACTTTAATGTCGTTTTTGCTACGAATAGAGTCTCTAGCGATCTGAAATTAGTTCACTCATTCTTACGCATATATCAACAACCTAATGATGATAAACTTACGCAATATCCTAGTAAGCAGCTAGCGACGGTGTTCGTATATCAAGAGACCCTTAACCAAACGTTCAAGATTTTAACTTCTACAAATACCACAATTGCATATAAAGGCTGGTTAGAATTTGATATAACAGAAACGTTGAATAAGTGGCTTAAACGGAAGTCTGAACATTATCTCGATCTTAAGATTGCTGTGAACATTGTAAGGGACAACAAAGCAGAGAATCGACTCAAAATCTCAGCTCATGATTTGGGTTTAATTATGCCGTATTCCGAGGAGGAGGAAACATTTGATTTTCAGCCGTTTATTATAGCTTACTTCAATGGTCCGGAATTATTACAAAAGATCCAAAAATTACGTACGAAACGAAATATTTCACTGAAGAGAAATAATGCCTTTGCCCTCCCATCGAACTGGAAATCTGCGATGTGTAAACGCCATGATTTTGTTATTGATTTTGAAGATCTCAATATGGGCGAATGGATTATTGCGCCGAAGCGATACGAAGCGTATTTCTGCGCTGGAGAGTGCAGTTTCCCATTGAATATGCAAACAGATGCGACCAATCATGCCATCGTTCAGAATCTTATGAATATTAAGCGTCCCTCACTACCAAAGCCATGTTGCACACCCGTCACTCTAAGCTCAATTAAAATACTGCATTACGATATTAACGAAAACGCTGTTCTAACGAAGTTCGCCAATAGTATAGTTAAAGGTTGTGGTTGTAATTAATTTACGTACTTTTGTAATTAAAAAATGCAATTATTTTATTTAAATGAAACAAATAATACTCAATTGTTCGGTTCGTCAAGGCTTTTAAAATTTTCAAAGCTTTTCCAAACAGGGCGTAAATAATCGTATATCCTATTGTACTATCGCGCTAAAAAATAAATCGCACTAAAGTGTAAACAATTCGTTATGATATATACCAGTAATGGTGCAGGGAATATTAACTTTATACGGACATACGTAACACCCGGAAGGACTTTAGAAAGACTCTCCTCCTCGTTGTACCAATCGATTCAGAAGATTATATATCGATTTAAGCTTCGTTTGGCCGTCATGTGTTCTTGTGTTCAACCTACAGGTCAATTTGGTGCACTGATAAGTTTTGAAGAACAAAAGCGAACGCTATCGAAGATGGTTACATGCGCACCACTTTTTCAATCGTTTCCCATATGACGCTTGTATCTATATCCTACCTATCTGTCTATAGAAAACTATCAATTGCATTAAATTTTCGGGGGAAAAACGAAAGTGCCACTATGAGGATTGCGGGCGTATGAGACCGATGTAAGTATTTTTACTGAACTAGCTAGTCCGTAAGAGATGGAAGGCATTCTATATTTTTGGCTCACTGACACTCCTCACACCGTGTACAACTAGAAGAAAAGCATGCACTTAAACCGCGTTTCTTTTCGTTTGCAATATTATCGCTTATCATGTATCATGTTGACCATCGGAAACTCTAAATAAGTTATCAACCTACGTCAGTTGGATTAGCCGAGAAACTATTGATTTCGGTGGTAAAATCTAGTATTTTTGGATTTACCTTTCAGAGAGGTTGGCTGGCTGCATCATTCGAAAAAGCTTTGTTTTACGTATCAAGTGTCCCTCACTTTCCAAGCTATGCTAAGTAATATCTGCTCTAAACTCTATAAATTGCTGCTTTTTGACAATAATGGGAAACTTGATCTAACATTTTCAGCACGATTGGCTTTTATTCTCCAAAATTGGCCTCGAAAACACTAGCATCGCTTAAGAGTAATGTAGAAGCCTCTCAAATAATGACTTGGTTCTCTCGAAGGTAACCAAAGGATTGCTCTCTTTTCTTTGAGGGCTTCAAATGGACAAAGGCCCTCTTGGCTCCATACGCATAATTTTTTATGATAATGAAAGTTGGTGGTTAACAGTGAGCAGTGCTTCTAACAAAACACTTTTTTTTTGCTAAAAATTCACTTTGAATTCAAAAATTACTTATAATTTATTTCTTCCCCTCGCAACATATATTTAAAGAAATGTTTATATGATAAAATTTATAAAATACAAGAGCTGATCACTGGTTGCACAATCACGATCAAGTTCAAGATATCTTCGTTTTCTTCAACATGTTCGATTCATTGCCTACGTGCTGACGCAGAGCAATCATTTATCTTAGGAAGTATAAGACTTTCTTTAGATAGTTTGAACGAGTTACCAATTTAATAAATATTTCTATAACCAACGAATAAAACTCTTCTCGAGTCTCAATGCTAAAATACTCTTCGATAACATTAAGGAATTCGGTATAACGTATTCAGGTCTTCGATGGCGACTCAAATACGCGCGGCACATTGCCGAGTGTACGCTGTACGCATTTAGAAGAATCTAAGCAAAGATAGGCGTGCCTTGTCGTCTCTGATATCCTTACCTTCAAGTCGCATGTAAAGCACTGTTAAGTCTTTTGCTCTGTCTGACCATTACCGTACTAGAGCACGTATAATAAGCAAAAAACCTGCTCGTGGAAGGCCTCGAAAAAAACCAAAAAATAAATAAATATACAAAAATAAAATGCAGAGTATTCTGTTAGAAGACGAGAGGCAGCCAGCATAGCATCGGTCGCACAATACAAATATTAGTTTTTTTAGTTTTCCTTTTTTTTTCGTTTTCATACAGAAGAAACTAACCAAAGGTCATTTTACAATCACTTATTAACCCACCTGTACGTGGAATACATGCATATAAAAAGAGTACAAAATATCAGCTTACAGCCACCGAATTCCACTTAAACTAGTAATTTTATAGCAAACTTTGAAAAAAAATCCTATCTCTCTTTTCATCTGCCTGCTCTTAACACCAAAACTCTTTTGTTTACAAACAAGAAAACATTTGAAAACCATTAACCTCCAAACTGTGAGCAACAACTTATTGCTAATGTACTTACCATGTTCCCCATCAACCATCCATTTTTCGTCTTCGAGTGCTGCCACAGGCCGTACATTGGGTGTTACGCAACATTATTTATTCAATTTATTGCTTTAAAAATTCAAGAATGATATTGAGTGGACCATCTTATAAACACTTACTCTGCTTGGGAGAGACACGAAAGAGGAAATTGAAGAAAATTTTAACGCGTATTTCATGATAATGTTATGTGTAATGCATACACACAAAGTATTTGCCATGATCGATCAATTGCAACCAATATCTCAAAATGCATGAAGCAAACTTAGAAAAGACTTTTGACTCTTTGCAATCGTATGTCGACTATCTGTCCACATTGTTTTTGTTATATCAACTCCTATGTCAACGATTATATTATTTCAAATTATTTTAAAAAAAGCAAGTCTCAGCAAATGATATCCGATTTTGTCGCTTTTTTTATGTCCTCCATACCTTTATCGTAACAAAGATTAAAACAAAAAAAACCAAACCTTGCATATGTCATAATATTGAGTGGGAGAGAAGTTCGAATTTTTCCATTTTTGTAGAACATACGTTAGAACTGTTATCATATGGCTTTCATGGCTTGTCATTAGCAATGAGAAAAAAAATGTCAAAAGCAGAGGTGTTCTCGAGTTCTGTTGCACAATAGGCGTGTTCTTTCACCGATTTTCTCCATTTTTAATATAGGACTGAATGCAAGAGCTAAACACAAAGGTGGTTTAGTGTTAGTTTTGCGGTCAAGCGAATTTTCATCAAAAGGATTACAAAGGCGAACAGAATGCCACACTAACCAAGACGTACCTACACTTTGCGGGGTTTGTGAAGCTGAAAACTATTAATATTTGTATATTTTTGAAAAGGTGTGTATGTGTGCGTAATACCTCAGCGCGTTACATGCTTTATTAAACCTAAAAACACTTTTCGTGCAGACATTTACTGAGAAGAGCTTGAAGTCAGCCATCTTTGTACTCTAGCCCCCACTTATGATACAAAGTGTGTTAAGTTTGTGCAACAAGTTTCAGAAAGACGTGGGATAGTACCATCTTTTATTATACTGTTCGACTCAGGAAGTGATTCTGATTTTGCTGCTAAGCTTGTTCGTCTGTCCGTCTATCTTGTTGTTGTTTGTGTTCGACTTACAGGTGGCAATTTTAAAGTTATTTTGATGAAATTTGATATGCGCGCATGTTTTAGCTCCAGGATACGCGCTATTGAAAATGGTTCGGATCTGACGACCGCTCCCCATATAAAGTCTTAGTATGAAAACTCATTAAATGAATAACCGTATTATAAAGCGAAGTGGTGTAGGGTATTTAATAGAGAACCGTTGCCCAATATATCGGTTCTATTTCCAAAGAAAATTGCTTGTATTGCTAGACACGTAGGACCATCATACTTACCCACGTATAAGAATTTCCAAAAATTGATTCGTACAACAATCTTTTTATTTACTATCAGTTTATCGTTATTCTTATTTAACAACATTCTTTTATTCAACTAAATCAGATTATAATTATTGAAACGTTTAAAATACAAATGTTGTGTTCACTTCTCTTAACATTAAAGGGAGATTGAAGAATTACATAAATGACTGTTATAATCTTAACATTTATTAAATCGTCTTACAACCTCATATTTTCGTGAAACAATTCATCTCTCAGATATTGAGGTGACAGTAATACAATAATAGTAATATTTCACTTTGCACATGTGTTTGTGTATCTGGCATGCGTACGTGTACATCATTCCCTTGATGTGAATCGTAATGCGTATAGTAGTATAAATTGAACAATTTCTCTTTCTACGTTTTACATAGATTCCTTAATTCAAATTATTAAATTTATTTAGCAAAAAAATTTATAAATTTACAGTTAGATGATATTTGAAATTTTTAATATTTAATAAATTACAATTAATTGCACAGTTTTAACGCTTAAATTAATTAGGATTTTGCGTGTAGGGGCAGCACTACAGGTTTCTTTACAATTTGATTGAATATTTTTCTCGTGTACTTATGTCTCAACTAAAAAATATTTGTGTGAATTTATAGAAAATTTCAAGGTTTTAATTGATTGTAAAATTGTATGACATATGTAGTGTAAAAAGTTATATAGTACTCTACTTGCCCAAGGAGGATATAAAATTGTACTTATAGACCAACTGCAGTTACATTCATATTCCAATATTGGGAAAGGTCTAAACTGAAAAGTAGCAATACCTCCTTGCAAATATTGCTTTTCGCACATGTCGGTTTTTAAGTATTATTTTGCGCCTTAGTTTGAAACTGGTATAATTTTCAAAAGCGAAAAGTATTGGTCATATTGGTTAAACGTTGTAATGGCATTCTTCGGTACTACATTGCGTAGTTTCGTTAATTTAAAAAAAATTTTTTTTTTTTTTTTAATAATTAAGAAACAGATTTTTTGGTTATTAATAGAGAACAACAGCAACTAGTAAGATCTCTATTCCCGAAAGCCGTTTCGCTAATATGTCGACGAAGGACCATGAACTATTCGCAATAACATTTGCCGATTTCGGTAATACTCGGAGAAACTCACCCAATGCGTAAACGATGGTTGTTAAACGGTAAGCTAATACTCGTTTATGCGGACCTAAAAGCTCTATGCGAATAATAAACCACGCTGATTAAATCGAACTTGAGGCGATGTTACCTTAAAAGCCCCAACGATTCAAAGAATATATAAGACATAGTTGACCCATTTATCAAATCTAAACAAAATTCCTTTATATTAATTATAATAGATCGCTTTACACGTTGGCCAGAAGTTTTCCATTTAAGAAACATTTCTGCGCCAACGATAGCCTCCATTAGCTTAAACAATTACATTTCTCGTTTTGGCTTATCTCACTTAATTTCAAAACCTACAATCACCGATCTAGGTAAACAACAATTTATAGATAGATATAGAGTTTCCGAATTGAACAAACTCTTAGGGATTCACATAATAAGTCGACAGTACGGCCAAGATTTTCATAGATCGGCTGTAGTAGCCTCGGCCATATATGTGAAGAGAACCGGTTGCAAACACACACACACACACACACACACACGCGCGCGCACGCGCGCGCACGCGCGAACACTAAAACAAAACTTCAAGGTTCTTAATGATTTTTCTTAACGGATACCAGCATAGGTGGTTGCTTGTTTATACTTCGGAGGAACGGATGGTCTCGCTAAGGATTTGGCAATCGAGGTGGGAAAGAACGACCAAAGGTAGGTGGACGTTCGTTCTTATCCCTAACATAAGACGTTGGGTCGACAGACGGCATGGAGAAGTAAACTATTACTTAACCCAGCTTCTGACTGGCCATGGCTGTTTCCGGGAATATCTACACAGATTCGGGCACGACAGTTCGCCTAACTGCCCGGTATGCGACGATATGGAGGAGGACGCAGAACAGAATGTTCTACTGCAGCAGGTTCGAGAATGGGCGGCCTCAAGTGCCACCTAATGAGATAACAAGCGCAATGGTGGGCAGTGCAGCAGCCTGGAACGCCGTAGACGCATTCGCCAGCAATACTCTCGTGGAGTTGCGGCGATTGGAGAGGCAACGGGTGGAGAGCAGAGGGAGTGGAAGCCGATAGTGCATTCCACTGAGGTCCCACCATCAATATAATAATAAAATATATAAAAGAATAAAATATTTATATACATGTTAAATCCTACGATTGTAAAACTTGAAATAAAAGAATAAAATATTAATATACATATTGTGCGTTGATAACTACCATTGAGCCATCGCAAAGAAAAAGGGGGTTTGTCACCTAATTCAACTACTTGTACGGAGATCCTACGATTGTGAAACTTTGCTGTGAAGGGTGGAAAAGGCTTATTGGAAGGAGGAACCCAGAGTGCCGATGTAGCAGCTACCGCGGCCGACCCTGCACCGACGCCTGTACAGTAAGTTAGTTAAGTTTATTTAATTTTTTTTTGTTTGTTTCCCCAATGCGTGGCTAAGAGCGCGCTGCCACCGCTGTGGCTGGAAAAAGGGGAGGGTGTGCGTAT